TCATATCTAATCTGAGCATCAAATCTTGGGCCAAGCTTTAGAAAACTTCATAGATAGCATCTGTTATTCTGACTCCTATTTGAGATCTTGAACCTCACGTTTAACTATTAAAGAAATTTAGAAAGAAAATTTGAATATGAATAGCAGATTTATGACGTTTTTCTACACAGCAATTATGTTATACATCGCTTCTGATCAATTTAAAGCAAGGAGGTATGCCTCACTACAGCCTAACAAAACATTGCGATGACTATAATAACCTAGGGGACAGAAGGTAATATAGTCAAGGAGGGTATAAATGCATAAATAGTAAAATTCGAAGAGTGGTGTTGTAAATACTTGTTTTGTAGTCCCACATCTACACTCCCACTAATGAAAGAGAGTGTTTGATAATTTTCTCAAATGCCCTTGTGATAATTCTCTCAATGCCCTCGTTTCCAACAAGTGGAGCGACTTGCTTTGAAAAGAAGTGAGGAAATTCGAGATAGCTCACCATATTGTGTCCCGTAGCAATAACTTTGCCGTCTTTCACTATCACTGCCCCAAAAGGACCTCCATCGCCAATTTTCACCCCATTACAAGCTTCTTCGATAGCTGTGTGCATGTGTTCATTACCTGAAGAAAATGCATGATAGTTTGGTTTAAGACTTATTTCTATTATGTTTGTGTCAGAGTAAAAAAATGATTTTGAAAAATAGGTGTTTTTGATATATCTTATATGGTATGTCCACTTTCATAGACTAATTGGTATGAGTGCTCGTCTTACTATAGCCTGATTCAAAAAACTTGGTCCTTCAAAAAAGACGAATAAATTGAAGAAAGTATGTAAACATTGAAATGTTTGGAGCACCAAAGTAGGAACTTTTTCGTTTGTTGATATGAACTTCAACGTTTTCACATACTTGAAGGGTCGTACTCAGCGTTTAAGGTTATACAAACAAATAATTTCTACAGATACTTCTTAACAAGTCAATATAACTCAAAATTTCTAAGTTTATTGTCCTTAGAAAAAGGTCTCATAAGCTGAAAAAGTATTAATGGAAGTGCCAATAGGAGCATTGTTCCTTACAGACATGCAGACATGCATTCACAACTTCAGTCAAA